TTTGCACCAGCAGCAGCAGCGGCAGCAACAGCAGCAGCAGCAGCAGCAGCAGCAGCAGCAGCAGCGGCAGCAGCAGCAGCAGCAGCAGCAGCGAGAGCAGCCACATCTGAGTCAGCAGCAGCAGCACCACCACCACCAACAGCAGCAGCAGCAGCAGCAGCAGCACAGCTCAGCCGTCAGCACCGCCAGCGGCGGCCGCAGCAGAGATGATCGCTCAGCAGGGGCGGCACCCACAGCAGCGGGTGCAGCAGCGGGCTCGGAGCCGGAGCAGAGGGAATCGGGGCCCTCCAGCAGCAGTACCAGCACCAGCAGCGGCAGCGCTCTGCCTGTCAACAACAAGGGCTCACCCGAGCAGGGACGTAGGGCGCCCAGCGGCGAAAGATGCGCGGCATGTGCCAAGGCGCCTGCGGACGGCGCACGGCTGCGCTTGTGCCGGGGCTGCCGCTCAGTGCGCTACTGCAGCCTGGAGTGCATGCGCAGCGCGTGGCCTGGCCACCGTCAGGCATGCCAAGAGAAGCTGGCAGCAGCCAGCGCGGCTGCTGCCTGCCTGGCAGCACAGGCGGAGTGATTGTATCACGAAGGTCAAGCTTCTAGCGGTATTGCTTAGAATGCTTTCATGCGCATGATCATGATGTAGAATAGATTTTGTGCTGCACATGCATCATCTTGCGTCGACCTTGTGTGTTGAGATTTGCTGTGTTTTGAGCCATTTCACCAGCCCCAGTGCAATCACAGGCAACAGCAGCAGCAATGCTTTGCATGAATTGCTCAACGCGCAGTTGCTACCTGCAAGGAAGCGCTTTTTCAAGGCGGCCGACACTCAAGCTGCCCTGCTTGCAATGCAGGTGCAGCAGGGTTTCGCATGTAAAGCATACATGTGTGGTTGCATTACTTAAGTACTGGTGCAGTTTCTGGACTCTGTACGGCAATCGTGGTTGCTTGCACATACAGCTTAGATCGCGACGCACCTGCCTACGATCATCGCGGCACGCCGCAATACACCCGCCCAGCCGCCGCAACAGCGCCCATGCCCACTGCTGCACGATGAATGCTGCCCACGCTGCTGCCAGCATGCCTGCAGCGCCGCGGCCGTCCAGTGCGGCACGCGCCGCACATCTAGACCAGACCTGGGCCGCAGCCACCCGTGGTGCACCATTTGCGGGGTGGTCACAGCTGTGCATGGGTCGGCCCCGTCGGCCAGCCCTTGGACACCCAGGGTGCCCCCTCATTCAACCCAGGCTGCCGTCTCCTGGGGGGGTCCTGCAGGGATCTGCAGTCACAGAGCAGGATGGAGAAGGTCAGGGGACGTAGCACTGAAACTTTGAAGGAACACTGTGAGATGGCATGCACTTGTTGCCGGCTGTGATCCAATTGTGACAACACAGCAGAATCGTCAACTAGGGTCGATCAGCAGTCAAAGGTCGTGACCGGTCGACGATACAAATGCCATCGTTACCAACCAGAGGCTGGGCCCGCGCCCCACAGCGCCTCGAGCCGATGCCCATCGCGCAGACAGCTTAGCCTGGGTAGAGGTTCAAACAGCGGGAAGAAAGCCGCGCGATGGGCTCCCCGCATTGGAATCCAAGAACCGCTGCCGGGAGAAAGCAACGATCAGACGCTTGCATGCATCAAGTTGCAAGTTTCCACGCTTGAGTCTGCTGCAATGCTGGTGGGACTCAAAGATTCTGTTGGCGCTGTGGGGGCAGGGGCTGTCGCCGCAAGCGGGTTGCATCGAGCGCCCGGCTCATGTTGTCGGGCGGCGAAATGACACGAAAGGCTTGAAGGGTTTAAGAACGTGCGAATCGACGTGCTAATGGACAGCGCGACCGTCTCCAGACATGCCACCCTGGGTGGACACGAGGCTGCCCAAGCCGGCCGGCCGGCGACGGCTCGCCGCGAACTTGAGCAATCGTCTAGTCAGCAAGGTTCTCGGCACATCAGACCCCTCTAAGCCGCCAAGCCATATGTGCACACTTTGGTCTTGAAAATTTCAAGAGGAAGAATCAATTGCAGGAAGAAGGAGGCGAGATGCTGAACGGGCACTGTGCCCCCGTGGATCGCGACAAACTTGGACGCCGCAGCGTTCACCGACATGATGCGAGATGTCCTTGCACGTGACTTTTAATCAATGCGATCACAGTTCACAAAGAAAACTGCTTATCCCACAGGCACTCAAACAGCTGCTCGCCCCGCTCCACGACCGCGGCCGGCACCTATCCTTGTCGCTAGTCGCCCCCCGGAAGTAAGCGTTCGCTCTTGCGAGCTGAACAGCGAGTGCGCAGGCCCAAGCGACCGACTTCCACCGGAGCCTATCGGCCCTTGCCACCATGACCCTTTGCGAGGGCGACGTGGCCCACGGGCGAGCGGATGAAGGACAACATCTCCACACGCATCTTGAGGATCAGGTGGGCGCACCAGGCGGCGCGAGCGCGACGCGGCGCCGCATCAGCGGACCGATGGCGGCCCCGTCGCAGCACAGTCGCGGCCCGCGACACGTGCGCGGCGCGCCGATCAGCCTCAGCCCACTCGGACCTGGTTTGCAGAATTCGCGCTACCGCATGCAGCAGCGTCCCCGGCTGCCTCTCCTTCGTCCGCTGCTGGCTCCGCCCCATTGGTCCCGCCGTTTTAAACAACCCCCCGCGCGGCGCCGCAGGACGACGAGAGGGTCTGCTGGATCTGCCTCGGCGGCGACGACGAGTCAGGCCACCTCGTGCAGCCCTGCGCCTGCCCCAGATACACGCACGCCTCCTGCCTCGCGCGGTGGCAGCTCGTCAGCGCCGGCAAGAAGTGAGCGCCGCCGCGCTACGAACGGGGGCAGACCAAGCGGACGGGCGGGGCGACTGCCGCGGCCGCACAGCGTGGAGCCCTAGCCGTCTTGGCATGCATGATCTCCGTGCGCATGCCTCGCGTTGATGCACCCGCGCGGCCCCCTCTCGCGTATCTTTGCCTGCAATGTTGCATCGCGCCCCCACCTCACACTCGCAGCGAGGAGTCGCGCTGCCGGTTCTGCGACAAGGTCCTGCCAGACTGGCGCCCGGCGCTCACGCCCACTGCGCTGCAGCCCAAGCCCTCCGTCATGTCTGTCCGCTACAGGTACGCACCCCCGACAGCTGCGGCCCCGCGCCGCCACCCCCCGCACGCGCCCGTCCCGCACCACCGTATTGGCCTGCGCCCGCCTCTGGCCCCGCAGAGCCGCGCCCCCTCCCCTGTCGCTCACCAGCCGCGCCCACGCCCGCGCCGGCCCGCGTCCCGCAGGGGCGTGACGCACCGCATCCAGTACACCCCTGGCCCCGACGGCCTGGAGTCCTTTCTCAACACCCTGCAGTCGATCGGGATCAAGGTCGCCTCCGCGTCCCAGGTGACCTTCCTCTGCCGCTCCCCAGACACCGGCGAGGAGATGGCCCTGCGCGGCCTCAAGGCCTTTGACGCCGCCGCATACTGCGCCTCCATCACCGCTGCCAAGCGCATCCAGCGCAACCTGAGCCGGCGCCGCAGCAGCGGCGCGGCGTCGGACGCGGCCGGGGACATGGGCGTGCACGCGGCGCACCCGGAGTCGCCGACCGCGGCGGGGGCGGCGCGGCGCTGCGAGGAGGGCGGCGCGGTAAGGGCAGAGGCGAGCGGCGGCGGCGGCGCTAGCGGCGGCAGCAGCGACGCCGAGGAGGGGCCTCCGCGCAGCACCGCAGCGGCCGTGTCGGCGGACGGCGGCATGGTCGCAGCTTCTGAGCAGCTGCCGCTGCGCCAGCGCGTGGTGGCGCATGTGCATGCGGAGGCGCTGCAGGAGGGTGCGGGCGCGCAGGCAAGCGCCGTGCCGGCGCCTCGGAGCGCGGCGGCAGCAGAGGAGAGCAGCGCGGCGCTGCCATCAGACCGGCGGCGCAGCAGCGCCGCCAGCAGCAGCAGCGGCCGTTCGCGCCGCAGCCGCCGCGGCACTCACAGCCAGCTCTGGAACGTGGCGGCATCCCTGGTGGCTATGGTGGTTGGCGGGCGACGGCAGCAGTAGCGGGGTTGGCGGGATATCGTCGACTTCAAGAGCTCCACGGCCTGCGACTCGACATTGCGGGCGCCATTAGGCGCGGCGCAACCTACCTGCGAATGCCAGCCTGCGGGCTGCCAGCTAACAACTGCGTGTGGGCGGGCTGGGCTCGCTGCATGCTGCTCGGAGTTGCCACAGCCACTGGCATCGCCCCTGCGCCTGGTCCTGCAACTCAATTGCAGCCGTAGATGGGGGACAGCTTTGATGATGCGAGCAGCCACATCAGCCAATGGGCATTTTGGCATTTTTGTGTTGAGGGGCCCGATGCAAGGAGGCGCCGCCTCATTTGGGTCGTGTGCATTAGGATGGCGCCCGGCCATCGTCCCGGGAGCTGAGACGCTCTCGAGCACCCGCACCTGCTGGCTGCCTGTCACCTCACACCTTTTCGCCTCCTTTTTGCCTGCTGGCCATGATTATGACTCCGGAGCGTGGCTGGCCAACAGCTCGCCCGGGCTTGCGCTTACAAAGCGGCGGCTGCTTTGCACTGTACGGAGAGCACGGGCCGAGTGCTGCCGCGCAGCCCGACCGTGCGAGTCGCCTGCTTCCTTCACGTATGAGACCACAGTGGGTGGTGGCGCCTCTCTGATTGGTCTTGCAAAATTGGGGTCCGTTCCGGTGCGCCCTGTGCGCGAGTCGGTCGTGCCGTTTGCATGTGGGTTCCAGCTCTGCAGGGCGCAGCCCAAGCTTGCTGCGCGCGCCTGGGCGCTGACAGCGAAGCAGGGAATCCCGACCTCCCAACAAAAATTTCTCAAGTCGTCTGCTCTAGCGCTTTCTTATACCCAGGCACGTTTGTCTTGTTTCCTTGAGACGCCACAGGGCACGCGGCGCGCTGTACGCCCCTGCCCCCTCCCAAAATCACCGCCCAAAAGCAATTGCATGAAGTGCCCATTCAGGCTGCTTTGCGATCTTCCGGCTTCTGGACGGATCTGGTGCTTGTGTGCATGCAATGCAATACAGCCACTGCACAGGCCTCCATTGGCCGCTGCGCCACAAACACAAAGAAGCTGTAAAAACATCAAGTGAGCGTTTGCACATCAGTGCATGAACTGGCGAAGCTTGACATCAGGTGTTAGGCACAGCTACTGCAAGAAGAGAACGTCGTGTTGCGTGGTGACCAGCCTCTGTCTCTGGATTTCTAGACAGCATCGTACACGCAGTGCACACCAAATTGCAGGGGCGGGGATTGGTTGCTGATGTCATTGATCCGCCATCAGCCTGGTGCAGAGCGTAGCGAGCTTTGCCGCCTCCTTGGCTGTCTTCAACATCGCACAGGCCTCGAGACCGTTGAATACCTTTGTACCATACCTATCGTTAGCGCTTGATTGATCTGCGACCTTCCACCTCGAGGTGATGTGTCGTCTACAAAGCGCACTGTGTAGTATGCATTGTATTGTAAGCTGATATGAATTGTGTTAGAATGGGAACGCACTGCAAGGCAACTTGCTGACCCAGTGCGGGCGTTGCGCCGAATCAGGCACGCAGCGCTGAGCGCACGCGCACCACCTTAGTGTACCCAGAGCACCCCCCACGCGAGTGGGTGACGCGCGCATGATGCCGGGAGGCTGGCTCGCAGCAGGGGCGGGTGAGTGGGTCGTGATTGCACGGCAAGGCGTCTGGGCTGCAAACCCATGAAGTTGCGAGCGACGCTGCCGCCGTTGCTGTCTGCTCGGCCCATGCGCTGCAACCTTGGCGATCCCCATGCCGTGGCGTGGCTGTCCCGGTGCCCAGTCGTGCCATCCCACGTGCTTTATACATACACAATCGCACGCACGCATGCACACAACTCATGTGTGCACACCCGGGACCGCAAACGCCGCTGCACAGGCTTTGCCTTCCACTTCCTCAACAGGTGAGCCTGTGGCGACCCGCATGGCTCCTCTCAATGCTTGTTTGTAGTACACAGCAAAGCAGCAAGCCCTTGTCACAGCATTGAACGCCGTTGACGGGTGACCGCCGCCACCGCACCCTCCGCAGCAAGTGGCAGGAGGAGCGCAAGGCGCGCATAGAGCGCGTCAACGCGCAGCTCCGCAACTTTTACGGCCCGCTGCTGGCCGCGGTGTCGGCCACCAAGAGCGCCTACGATGCGCTCATCACGCAGCACAGCCCAGACGGCTCCCAGGGCGCGTTCCAAGACGCGGTGTGCAGGGGCCTCCCTCCCGCTGCGGCGGCGGGGGACTTGGGGCCGGGGCGGCAGGTGCCAGGTGGCAGCGGGAGAGGCGGGGGCTCGCCAGACGTGTGTTCAGGCCTGCAA